TATACTACAAGATGGGTATACTATATGTTCGGGTCGGACGCGCGCCTCCAAGGAGGACATATAGTATTAGTATGTCCATGTGCGTCCCATTTTATAGCCATGTAGCCCTATAGCCCTATAGCTCTATAGCCCAATAGCCCAACAGCCCATATTGCCTTATAGCCCAATAGCCCTATAGCCCTATAGCCCTATAGTCCTATAGCCCTATAGCACTACACCCCCATATAGCCCTACAGTCCCATAGCCTTATAGCCCTGTAGTCCTATAGCCCCATAGCCCCAACAAAAACCTGATTGGGTTTTTCTCTGGTATCATATAGTTGCCGTTCCTGTTCTTGCTGCGCTCTTCTGAGATCACTGCTGGGTGCTTTTCATGCGCACTGCGAGTCCTTCAGAATGCCAGTCAGCATTGAGTGGTCCTGAGTAGAATGACCACATGTACAGAAAGGATTGGGTACGTCACAGGGTGAGTTTATGTACATGTATATGTTGTGTGGTATATGTATATGCATATGCATGTGCACAGCTAAATGTATATGTATATGTATGTGGACATGTATGTTTGTGTATATATAATCCCTGTCTACGAGGCCTGGGGTCTCGGGGCTAGAGACCACGACATCGCATGGGGGACACGGGGGTCCAGGGGTTCTCCAGAGGCACTCCGAGAGCTTCGAGTCGCTTCCGAGTCGCATTTGTCTCCAGATGGCCCGCCACGCTGCCAAGGCGCTCCGCGAAGGCTTCCAGGCGGCCCAAAACGCTTCCCGGGCGCTCTAAGAGGGTTCTCAGACAGCCCTCAAGTAGGCCTTGGGAGGATCGCGAAGGCCTTACGGCAGGTGCCGCCGACTCTGAGAACGACGAAGATGAAAACGAGGGGGGGGGGAGGAAGGGTGGAGGAGGTGGATGAGGGAGGAGGAGGGGGGAGAAGGATATGGAGGAGAAGCAAGAAAGAGGAGAAGGAGGCAGAGGAGATCAGGAGGAGGGGGAGCAGAGGGGGGGGAGGAGTAGGAAGAGCAGGAGGAGGAGGAGGAGGAGGAGGAGGAGGAGGCCAGAGGCTTTCTTGGGACAGCCTGGGGCTCTCTCGAGGCCGTCTTGGGCCGTCCAGGGCTCCTTTTGCGCCGTCTCGAGGCATTCTTGGAGGCCTCCTGGGCAATCTGGTGCTTTCCTGGGCTGTCCTGGGGCAATCTTGGGGGCCTCTTTGGCCTTCTTGGAGGCGTCTTGGGCCGTCTTGGGGCCCTCTTCGGCCGTTAGGGGACCCTCTTGGAGGCCTCTTGGGCCGTCTCGGGGCGATCTTGGGGCCCTCTTGGGCCGTCTTGGCGCGTCGGGAAGCGGAAGAGGCAAGAAGGCCAACATCTGTCAAAAACGCATGGGAAATCCATGAACTTGCCTTTTGGGGCTCTCGTGAGAAAGCTCCTGGAGGCTTCTTAGGGCGCTTTGCAGGCCTCCTGGGCCGTCTGGAGGCCGTCAAGGCGTCTTGGACAGATCGTGCGGCGATTCGGGGTTCTCTTGGACTGTCTTTGGGGCCTCTTGGGGCACTCTTGGCCCGTCTTGGGGCTTTTTTGGGGTGGTGGCGTCGTATCTGACCCCCACCCGGGACCTCTCCCGGGACCCCCCTTGGGATCCCCCCCTGGGACCACCCCGGGGACCCCCCCCTCGGCGGGGGAGGGATCGAAGGGAAGGGGGTTCCCTTCGACTCAATTACGACGTTGCTCAACTTCGCTTTGGTTGGCGCGTTGAGGAGGTCCCTGGGAGAGGGGGAAGCTTCGACGAGCCCAGGGAAAGGGGAGGCAGGGAAAGTGGATGACAGAGACGACCAACGAATGACGGAGATGACGACTTGAACGGACAAGCCCCTCATACACGCCGACAGGGTCGGTTGATTTTGTTTGTTTTCCAATGTGTTTTTGATGTTTTTTGGGGCTTCCGCATCTTGGGCTTGCCGATGCTCCAAACTAACCCGGGAAGCACCACCACGCGATTCAATACGGTTTCAGAGGCTACCCACAGGGGCGCCCAGAACATGCAAGAGACCCCAACGCCGTTTCAAGACACCTCCAGGACAGCCCAATCGGGCATCGTCTCGCGCCCGAGCCAACGGAAAATGGGTCCCGGACGCCCGCGGTCGTCTCCAGACGGCTCTCCACTCTCCTGAGGCGCTCCACGAATGCTCCCAGACGGCCCAAACCGCACCCCAGACGCTCCAAGAGGGTTCCCCGACGACCCCCACCACGGCCAGACGAAGCAACGATCACTGATTGTCCTTCCGTTTTTCATGTTTTGGGGTGGATTCCGCCTTGTCGGCTTCCTGATGCTGTACCGCAGCCCCAGAAGCACCACCCGCCCGCTTCCAGACGTTTTCAGGAGCTCCCCCCAAGGGCGCCCTAGCACCGAAGAGACCCGAAAGCCGCCCCAAGACACCAGCAGGACAGCCCAACAGGGCACCGAGTCGCCCCCGAATCGCCAGAAGATCACTCCCAAACGCCCACGGTCGCCTCTTGCACGAAGGTTCAGACGGCCAAAACCGCGCCCCAGACGCTCCAAGAGGGTTATCAGACGGCCCCCCAGAGGACCCCAAGAGGGCCCCAGGAGGGCCCACATACGCAATTTGCGTATTTTCCTTAGGTTGTGGCTCTTGGGGCTTCCGCCTTTTCGGCTTGCCGATGCTGCAAACTAGCCCAGGAAGCCCCACAATCCCCATCAAGACGATCTCAGGGGCTTCCCACGGGCGCCTAGAACATCCAAGAGGCCCCAAAGCCGCTTCAAGCCACTTCCAGGACAGCCCAACAGGACCCCGAGTCGCGCCCGAGCCGCCGAAAAAGTTGTTCCAGACGCCCGCCGTCGTTTCCAGACGGCCTTCCACTCCCCTGAGGCGCTCCAGGAAGGCTCCCAGACGGCCCGAACCGCGCCCCAAACGCGCCAAGAGGTTTCCCTGACGACACCCAACGCTGCCAGAAGAAGCAATAATCATTGATTGTCCTTGGTTGGTTCATGTTTTTCTGGGGGATTCCGTTTTCTCGGCACGCACCAACCCAGCCCAAGAAGTACCGCCCACCCGCTTCAAGACGGTTTCAGGGGCTCCCCTCAGAAGCTTCCAGAGTACCCAAGAGGCCCCAAATCTGCTTTCAAACACCTCCAGAACAGCTCAACAAGGCGCCGAGTCGCCCCCGAGTCGCCAGAAAATCACTCCCAGATGCCCGCGGTCGCCTACAGATGGCCCACCACGCTCCCCGCCCCTCAGCTCCCCCCCGCGCCCCTCCGCTCTAGGACAGCTCAAGGTTGCCCCAAGACAGCCCAAAAGAGCCCCAGACTGGCCCACACAAGACCCCCAATAAGCCCCAGAGACGCCCAATAACGCCATGGCCCCGGAGAGTCATAGAGACGCCACTGGCTCACAGTGACATAACAAGTTCTTCACGCCATGGCCCAGCGCGTCGCAGCGGTCGCGTGCTTTCCCGAAACTACCACAGGTTGGCGCCACCTCCATATCACAGTGTCGCACATCCGTGATTGTATGGTCCTTGGCACGCGTGCCTCTTGTATTCATCCCCACCAAGGGTAGCAACCCAACAATTGCATACCGTCTAACCACATTGTGTTTTTTGGCCTAGGGATAGCAACCCACGAATTGCGCATTATCTTTGTAAGCACCGTAGCAGCACAGTTCGCTCCTATGATCACGGTGATCCATGCCATACAGAAGCTCTTATCTCTTAAGAGACTCAGATGCGCATAACTCGCCAAAGGGAGCAACCCAATAATTGCACACTGCCTGTAGTATGATCGTGCCTCTTCCATGAAACGTTGTGGGTAGCAGCCCAATAATCACACGCTGCCTGTACCTAGCTTCGCAACTCACAGTCTTGGCTAAAAGTCGGAGAAGTGGGACATTCGGAGGCGGAGGAGGCGTTGCACACTTTGCCTGCTCCAACCAAACAGCACTTTTTTACCTCGAAGGTGATGCAGATATACGCCTTTACGCAAACTGACCAATCACACGCCTTGTGACCCAATCGGTACGCGCGCCCTTGTACCACTGCATTCTCTCTTCTCTTCATCCTACTTCCTCTTGTCCCTCTGCCAAGGGTAGCAGCCCTAGAGATGCAATCAGGGTAGCAACCCAATAACTTTACGCGTTACTGGCAGCAATGCATTTCGATGTTCGCCTCGCTCCTTTTTTCAAGAATTGCATTATACCTTTGCCTGCCCATAAGCCTATGTAAAACATGGACTTGGGTTGGCTGGGCAACGCATCGGGATGGGATGGACATATTGCCAAGGGTAGCAGCCCAAACATTGCACTGTTTGGCGCACTTTCACTGCTGAGCCGCGACGGCATTCACAACTCTTTTTATCGCTATTACTTGATTGTCGCGGGAATGGTGATGGCGGCGGGTTCCTACTACGGCGAGTGTCGTCACACCTGCCGGGGCGTACTTTCATTCATGTGTTCGGGTCTGGTGCTCATGCTTGCACATTTTCCGCGGCGCAAGCCAGGTTTTTTTTGACCCGAGTCGTTATCAAATTATTTATTGATCCCATAAACGCCACAGTTTCTTGCTCAGGTTGGTTTAGCGTAAACAAGGAGGATGAGGAGGAGGAGCAGGAGGAGGAGGACGACGAGTTGGAGGACGAGGAAAAGGATGAGGAGGAACATAAACAAATATGATGTTGGTGATGGTGGTTATGACGATAACGAGTTTGGGGGGAGGAGGAGGAACAGAAGGAGGAGCAAACGAGGGGTAGGAGGAGGAGGAGGAGGCGGCGAAGATAATGCGGATGACGACAAGGAAGCGTAATAGAGGAGGGTGATTTGTAAACCATTTCTTGTTTCCGCCGGGGGCCAAGCCGTCGACCCGCCAGTGATCTCCCCCTGAGCGACGACTGGCGAAACCACGACGACGATTTCCGATCTTCGACTGACGATATTCGATCTTCGAGCAACGACGACGACGACGACCAACGACGACGACCGAACACGGTCCAGAACCTGCTTCCCTGTAGGCTGAGGCGGAGTCCAGCAACGAGGCGAAGGGTGGCGAGTTCTGCTCGCGTATGCGGGTCCTCCTCATAGTTATCCTCCGACTCCATTTCATTGTCCTCCACACGTTTCCCTCCTCCTCTTCCTCCTGTTCCCTTTTCTTTTGCTCCGCCCCTTGTCCTTGTATTCCTCTTTTTCCTCCTCCTCCTCCTCCTGTCGCACCCCCAGGCGTGTCATCAGGGCGGGCCAGACGATCCGCCTGAGACTTCCCAGCCGTGTGCGATCTGGAAGCTCGGAATTCCCAGCATTTCCACAGATGAGGGCGGCTGGTGATACAAATCAGGGTTTTTCCTTGACGCAGTGCCATACCTTCTTTAAATAAACCAACACACTTACACGGATAGAGGGGAATCGTTTTCAAAATTTGGCATCCGTTTTGGCGACGCGCACGCTCGTCTTAAACAATGCAGTTGTTACAGGGATTGACGGTGGTTTCTCTTCAATGGGGGATTTCGTATTTGATTTCTTTAAAGTTTTCCCATGCGGCTTGCCTAAAGGTGCCCGGCTTAGTGCAAATTTGGTGCCTCGTTACGTTGCCCGTTGCTCGGAGGTCCCTAGGTTTCACAGGTTCCCCGGGTTCCCCGGCCCCGGTGCCTCCTACATCGCCGTGACGAGAATGTTTGTTCAATCTTCCTTCGCCAATGGCGCATCAGCGCGGAGTAGTTCGGAGCAGAAATATTCCAAGTACTCCGCGCGTGGGCGCATCCCGCTCGATAATTCATAGGGTTTGTCGTGGAGTAGGTTCCGATCCGGCTTTGGGGTAATAGAGTTGTAAGCAGTAGGCGGATCGGAAATTACTCCGCCGAAAGACGCAGTCATCATGTCATGTTAACTAGGAATTAGCTATTCTTTTCCTCCGAGATATGGATCGATCTTTGTTTCCCGAGGATTCGGAGGAATGCTGGCAGGAATTTCGCGGTCGTTGCCATAGCGATCTGGCACGCGGGTGTACACCTAAGGGGCTTCGACGGTCATCCCAACGGAGTAGAGCCTGATAGCTCTTTCAAATAGTGTTTGGGTATGTATATGTATATATGTACCTATACGACCACCTTTCGGGTGATAAGGAGGCGAGGGGGGGGGGACCAACGTCGCACTCGATCGATCTCACTATCGAACTCACTAAGATCTCACAATCGATCTCAACCGATCGATCTCACAATCGATTTGACTATCGATCTGACAATCGATCTCACAATCGGTCTCGTTATTGATTTCACTGTCGATATCACAATCGAGCTCACAACCGATATCACATTCGATCTGACTTTCGTTCTCATTATCAAACTCACTATCGATCTCACTATCGATCTCTCATTCGGTCCCACGATCGATCTCACTATCGATATCATAATCGATCTCACAATCGATCTCGGATTCTGTCTGACTATCGATCTCACTATTGAACTCACTTTCGATCTCATTATCGATCTCACATTCGGTCTCACTATCGAACTCACTATCGAATTCACGATCGATATCAAATCGATCTGACATTCGGTCTCACCATCGATCTCACAATCGAACTCACTACCGATCTCATTATCGATCTCAATCGATCGATCTCACAATCGATCTGGCTATCGATCTCACAATCGATCTCACAATATCTCAAAATCGATCTCACATTCGGTCTCACGATCCCACTATCGGTATCACAATCGATCGTATAATCGATATCCCATTCGGTCTCACAATCGATCTCACTACCGATACCACTATCGATTTCACTATCGATCTCACAGTCGATCTCACAATCGATCTGACATTCGGTCTCACGTTCGATCTCACAATCGGTATTACTATCGATATCACCATCGATCTCACATTTGACCTCACTATCGAACTCACAACCGATCATCAAAATAGCACAACAACATCATCATCACCATCATCATCAACATCATCATCATCGGGACACCGACGGGACACCGGCGGGACACCACGGGGCCCCGGCCGCCTGGAAGGGAGACATTTGGTCCGGCCGCGCCTCAGCCACACGGGACACCAGCGGGGCACCGGCGGGGCACCGCGGGGCCCCGGCCGCCCGGAAGAGAGACATTTGGTCCGGCCGCGCCTCAGCCACAGGAGACTTTCCTCTCGCCCGCCCGCGCAGCTTCGCCTCGCCCGCACGCACGGCACGCACGAACACGAAACCGAAATCGATGTCCTGGTAGGGGGGCTTTCCGTTCCACTTCGATCTCACCCCATCACCTCCGATACATATCATGTTATTTCAACAGCGATGCGTTCTGAATGATCAAAGCTTGATGTTTGAACAGTTAACAGGGGTTGTGCTGGAATTGCGCCAGGATTGCGCAGGAACTGCGCAGGAATTCGACAGGAATTCCACAGGAATAATACAAGCACATCAGCAGTATTAGAGTATTGAGTATTGAATATGGAAAATTCTAATATGTATGGGTCTGCCCATAGGGGCCCAATGCCACATCTATGATACCGTTACCGCCCACAGGTTCCATGCCGAGACACATAAAGATTAGTGTGTTTGGGGCAACCCAAAAGTGCCCCACTGTGCCCCACTCTCCTCCGCAGCCATTCCCATTGTTATTTCGCAGCCAACTTTCAACGCGCATCTAGCAGTTTGACAACTGATTCCCCTTGCTATTTTGGCGGTTGGTTGGGCATTGGACCGGAAAAAGAAATCCGGACAATCATTTGATGCTTGGCTGTTGGATCAAGAGTATGCACCGTGCCCTGCGCCACTGCGATTCCGAAACTATCGATGCGCATGAAACATGTTCTGACACATGGTACAAAGGATGCCCGTGGTGGACAGAGAGAATGAGAGAGAGAGAGAGAGAGAAAGAGAGAGAGAGAGAGAGAGAGAGAGAGAGAGAAAAAGAGAGAGAGAGAGAGAGAGAGAGAGAGAGATACAAAAGAGAAAGAGAAAGCGAGGAGGAGGCGCGCATCCGAAATGAGGCTGCTGAGCCGAAGTGGGGGCGCGTAGCAGAGAACAACTGATGAGGTGACAGCCAGCCAGCCTGAGGAGATAGCCAACCATCCAACACATGATATGACAGCCGACCAACCACATGAGATAGTTGACAACCCGGGGGAGAACGGCGACCAGCCAGATGACACCCGGCCAGCCATGCGACAGCAATCCATATGAGGTGACGAGGGATGAGCTACGGCTTCCTGCGAAAAAATCCAAGATGGATCCACATGTGCTTGTGAAGCAGAGAGAGAGAGAGAGAGGGAGAGAGAGAGAGAGAGAGAGAGAGAGAGAGAGATAGAACATATGCAACAACATATGAATTGCACATAGACCCAGTGTTGAAACGTCGGAATGTAATGCCGAATTAAATCGCCTTAGATGTTAGATGTTCCGTTTGTTTTGGCCGACGGAGGGTCTCATGTTCTTGGGGGATGTTCTTCTGGCTTGGGTTCGACTGCACGGAGCGGGGTGGGCGGGCGGGTCGATCGCTTCAGACGCTCCGAGGACCCGAAGGCGGACACCCTGATCTACGCCGCTGGCGGTGCTGACGAGCTCGGCGGCGCTGGCGGGCCCGGTGAGGCATCCACGGGCCACGATGATCCACATCTTCGAACTCCTTCCCTCCTCCTCATCCTCATCCTGCTCCTGCTGCTCATCCGATTCGTCGGTGGCCCCCGGTGTGATTTTTGCGGGCTGGGGGAAGCGCGCGTGGGGCTACCGACAAAGCAGCCCCTGGGAAGGGCGCCACCCGTGCTCCGGGGCGAAGCTGCCATTCGGTTCGGGGCCCATCGCCCCGACTCCGTTTTGTGCCTTCGCCCTATAGTTGGACATCAATCTCGGAGACCTCGAGCAAATCTCAGAGCGGTGAGGCCCCTGGACCCATGCACCGTTGGGCCACGCCCCAGTGAAAGCACCTGCTGCTCCTGCTCCTGCTCCTGCTCCTGCTCCTGCTCCTGCTCCTGCTCCTCCTCCTCCCCCTCCCCATCCTCCTTCCTTGATCCTAGTCCTCTCCCTCCTTCTTGCCGTTCGCTCTCCCGCCCCCTCCTTCCTCCTCCTCGTGGGGGAATTGAGAAAGTTCGCATAGGAGTCCTTCCATGGGGCCTCGACGGGGGGTCGCCGCCCCGCGCGGGGCAACGACTCGGCGGCCAACCGGGGGCTTTCTCCCGGCAAGAGGCGGCGCCTACGTTGGAACACGCCCTCGGACCCCAGGCCGCCGACAACCCTTCAAGTCCCTCGTGAGCCCGACGGCTCCGCCAAACCGGAAGACTTGCAGATCGCCCTGGCGGAGGCGAACGAAGCCTTGGGAGATGCTCGGAAACGCGTGTTGCGGGGCAAGATGGGCCGGCTGGTGACTTCGATGAGTTGCCCTCCATTGCTGATGGACGTTTGGTGTATTTGGGGCCCTTTATGTGAAATTTTATGATGGTGAGCTGCTCCTCGCCCTCAGGCGAGTCGCGTGGCCCCCGCCCCCGGCCCCTTTGCGGATTCGCATAGTGAGGGGGGGGGGGGGGGGTAAACGACTTACCCGAGGACGAGGAGCGATGATGATGACATGCGTGGCTCTGCGCGCCCCCAGGAAAAGCGGGCCGCGCGTGGGCCCAACAAAGCAACGAAAAACAACGCATTCGACCTCCACCTGGCGCGCGGAGGGGATCGCGGGAAGATGGGGGCTGTAGAGAAGATAGAAAAATAGAGAAGGAGTAGCACATCGACGCCGACACTCGGATAACTATTACTGACGTCTTGGAGGACGGGTTCAGGCACAGGCCCGAGAAGGGCACGGAAATCGTCGAGCGTTACAAAAAGGAACTTGGGGGGTGCACGCAGTAATTAGAAAAATCCGTCGCCGCGGCGCTGCCTCCTTTGCAGCGACTGCCAGAAGTAACGCAACACAACGCAGCGTGACATGCGACAAGGCGAAATCTGCATTGCGACACCGCCACATCTGTCTGCGGGCGTGAGAGAGGAGGATGGGGGGGGGGGGGGGCGAGGAGGAAGAGGAGGAGGAGGAAGAGGAAGGGGGAAGATGAGGGGGAGGAGCAGCAAGAAGAAGGGGAT